TTTTTCTTTTTTTATTTTCTTTTTTTTTCTTTTTTTATTTGCTTGAGGTGCATTGAGGTTTGGGTTGGAAAAAACAGTGCTTTTTTATTTGCCAGCTTCGTTGTTTCTTACACATCAACATCACCTTGTGGTTTGGTCGCAGGGATTTCTCTGTCAAAAGTACTGTCTGACCTGATGTGATTGCATAGGTGTGCGGACCTACATTGAACAGAGTATTGTTTTTTCTTGAGTTTTGGCAACTGTTTAATGCTAAGTTACTTTTCAGCATATTTGGGGGAAAATAAATGTCACTCGGTTTTGAGGAAGTAAATCTTGGTAGAGGCTTTCCCCACTGTCAAGAGTCTGTAGGTTGCATCTTTTTCCAGGTATGGTACAATATCAGTCTCATCTTTTGAGAGCAAATTTTTCCTTCCAGCATTAGGGTCACCAAACCTGAGAAAATGAATTCTCGATTCTTGCACTAGATCTTGTTACATCAATCTCTCTTGATAACTGCAGCAAGAATAGAACACTTTAAATGAAGGCTCACTCCTGAGATTCATGTTATTATACACTCTTATTTGTCTGAAAAGCTCTCTTGCCTTGTCCCCGTAAAATAGTATGATGGCTTTTTCAACAGCATGACTCATAATACTAAATACAGGAATGAATTTTGATTTAGTGCTCTGCAAGTGCTTTATCTCAGCAAACAGCTTTGTGTGTAAAATGGGTGGAAGGAGTCACTGGTACTCATCTGCTAATCTCTGTCCTTAGGAGACAGTGTTTAAAGTTGTTTCCAGGCTGAGGGTATACCTTTGCTCCCAAATCAATGAGGTGATCTCAGTTCTTCCAGAATAATTTTGCCATTTCATAAAAAGCTTTCAAAAAAGGAGGAACCGGTTAGTTCTTGGTTTCTATATTAGTGAAACCATTTTGCCTGGGGACTCAAAGTTCAATTTAGTCTGAATGGGTGATTTACCTTTTTCCTTCATCTCTGTGTAATGACTCTGACTGTACTTCATGAGAAACCCTGCTTACTGCAGCACCCATGGTTCACATAATTACTGCTGGTTGTACCAAGCCTAGCAATAGGGGGAAACCACCTTTTTTTCTTGGCGGTTTTATTGCATACAAGGCACTTTCACTTCAGCTTTCTGTTCTTTGCCTATCTGAGATGTAGGGAGTAGTTTATTCCTAAAATGACCTGTGGAGCAGTATATTTACTGAAAAAAATGTCTATTCTTCATGATTTCACATATGCAGACTTTTTTTTTGTTGCTCTTGTGTAGAATATGGATTTATTTTGTATGAACAGAATAAGGATTAAATAAGAACATATGCTTCCTCTTTTCTGGGTGATAAATCCATCTTGCTGTCCTGGAGGAAGGCAGCTTATACGCCTGGACTGAAAAGATGCTGAAAGAAAAAGTGACTGAATTCTGAATATAAGAAGATCAGGTTGTCTAAGCTCCCCAAACTAGACTGCCTAAAACTTGGGAAGCAGCCAGCAACACTGGGTGCAAATAATGTAAAATCCTTAATCTGCTTCATGAAATAGAATCTGGCAAAATAATGAAGCGTTCTGAATTCTTAAAATGACTTTGAATAAAGACAACTGCTCTCCAGTTTTAAGTAATTTCCCTCCAACCAGATTCCCTTCTGTTCCCTTGTTTAAAAAAGAAAAAGAAAGCTTTGTATTGTTAATTTCTATGCTTCAGATAGTACGTGGAATTTTATTAGCACCACTCCCTTCCCTTCAAGTCTGATTTTTTTTTTTTTTTTAATTTCATATGCTGGGTTATGTTTTTGGCATTGTATGCTGCCGTCATCTAACAAGCTCACTCTGCTTTTGCTTCTGTTGGGTAAAATAGCTTAGAGTGCAGTTTAATTCCTCATCTTGGCTCCAGAATTTTAATAGAACTTCAGGAGTCATTGGCATTAACTGCCCCTAGCAGGTATTGTTAGTTATGTGGTAGGTGTCTTGAAGGCTTACATGAATGCAGTGTTCATGTTTTGAGAAGGTTGAGATATAGAAGAGACTTGGTGTTTTATGAGAGAATGAGAGAATTAGTTCAGGTTTTTTGTTAGGAAGAGCAGTCCCAAGTGAGATCCAGTGGCAAACATGATTATTTGCCGACAGATTTTTTGACTTAGTGTTTGCTTAGTCTCTTAAGTAGATGTGAAAATTATGTGATGATTATCAAAGTGCCAGGTTCTGGTTGCATTATCACTTACATCACATTGTTCCAAAAGCGTCTGCAGAACTCTTCTGCTTTGCCTGTTTTGGAACCAGAGTACTCCAGCAGCAATTCTTGGTGAAAAACATTGGAAGCATCTGCTGAGGAAATGAATATGCTGCACAGTGCTAATCAGCTGGGAATCTGATGAGTGGAAACTCTTTCAGGAATCAAGCAATTTTGCTATTACTGCATCTTCTATTTCAAAAACATTCTTAACTGTTTGGAGTGGAATAAGGTCATTCTTTATTCCTCTCTACTTTTGCAAAGTTAGTATTTGTGCATCTCTATATTTCATATACCACGTAAACAAAAAAAGCCCCAAACAACACAGAACACAAAAAACGAACAAATCTCTTGTCCTTCCATACTTCAGGAGAAAAAGTGGAGTTTTCCATTTTCTACCCTCTGTATGCCTGCACACTCAAACCCTCTTGTCTTCCTCTATACACCTCCTATTATTGGCATAGAATATTGAAGTTTTGAAGGCTTCCTTATCTATTTATTTCCTTTCTATTTATTTTCATTTCTTGAAGAGCTTAAACCTATAATGTAAGGAAGTGTAATTTCTCTGAGGTATAAATCTCAGATCACGTTTTGGTAGATTTCTGTAGCTTTTGACCCTATTTTGTTTTTTATTATTTCTTCCTTGTTCCTGTGAGTTGATAATTTACTGTAATTTATGGCTACAAAGAAGGGGTGAGTAGAGTTTTGTAGAAACTTAGACTAGTTCAGTGGAGGGTTTTGGATAATGAAATAAGACCTCTGAAGTGATGTCATTTGAGGAGGAGCCACCATAATGATGAAGCATTGACAACACAAATACTGACACAGTCTCCAGGTGTGAGCCAGTGGCTGGCTTTCTGTGGCAGTGCAGACTTTTACCAGAATGGATAGCCTTCTTCTTTTACTCAAGCTGGAGTAGTTCAGCTGTCTTGAGATAGATTTTGAGTTTTGTTCTTACCTTCCCACAAGGAGAAGTCTGGTCAGCTTTAATCAGGTCAATCCTTCAAGCCCAAGGTCTGTGCATGCACTCAGGCTATGATGCAGCTCTTTCTTTTATTAGAAACTTCTTGCTAAAGAGATTTCATACCTATGTGGCAGCTTGTGTACTAGAGAGACGCTGCAGTGAAAGTACCAAGAGGAAATACTTTGGGGGACAGGGATTCCCTCTTATAGTACTCCAAATAGCAAAATCCTTTTCATGAGGAAAGCTTAAGTCAATGCTGTGATTCATTTGATTTATTATTTATGGTTTGTATGAGTTAAGAATTCTGTGATCCTGGCCCTTTGAGTCTCACAAGGACCTCTTATTCCTCTTAGCTAACTGTATTTTTTCATATATCCCACAGGCATTCCAAACTGTTTAACCTTGATTATTTGTCTAACCTGCTGACAGTTGTCATACTGATTTTTATATCCTGATAAAATCCTGTAATCTTTGAAAGTGATCAACCACCTCTTTTGACCTTGTCCTTTAGACAAAAGGATTTTCCTGCGTTACAAGTAGCAGGCTGAACCTGATTTTACTTTAATTGGTTGTTGCTCGTGGGTCATGTAGTATGTTACATTTCTTTACATATAATTTTTGACATGAAATGTATTCTTTGTGGTTGTATTTCCCTAGAATAGTTTTAAAACTAAAAGCTTTTTTTCTTCACTCTTGTTAGAGTTAGATAATGAAGTTACTGCTGCTTGTTCCTATTGCCTGTTAAGGTTGTGTTTCTCCCTTCCTATGTGCACTGTGATTAGTTCAGCTTTTTATTTAACCTGTGTTGAGCTCCTAGCAAGGCTTTCTCAGACAGTTACTAATGGAGTAGTAGATTGCATGCTAGGTAAAACTCCTTCACCAAAAGGGTTGTCAGGCTTTAGAACAGGCTGACCAGGGCTTAGTCAGCATCCCTGGAGGTGTTTAAAAGATGTATAGACCCTTGGACTCAATGATCTCAAGTACCTTTTCCAAACAAAGAGATTTTACAATTCTAAATTGTCATAAAAGGTATAAACTGCAGTGAATTACCATTCCTGCCCAAAGATTATGTTGTGTGAACCGGATGGTTTTTCACCTTTGGAAGATACTGAACACTTGGATTCTGCCACATTGTGTCATAGTCCTCTTCTCTGCAATATGTGTGA